ATTATTTAATAAATAAATATTTGGCAATAAATTCTTCATGTAGTGATAGAATAAGGTCGTAGTAATAGAAAAATATGGGATATGTTAAACTATTTAATCAGAAGTTAGATTTGATAATCGTAAAACCGTAAGGCGTGAAAATCGTAATATGAGATACCCAGAGTATTCCTAATATGAAATAACCCATGCTCCTATGTTATAGTGAAAATCATTGCTAAAGTATAAATGTTATTGTACAATAATAAAAAAGACAACCGGAATGAACGTCGAGTGTCTATATTTGCGATGCTTGATTCCAACTACTTGAAAACGAATTCTGGATAATTATCGCATGCTCATTTTTCGTACACGCTGGCTGTGTTTGTTTGTATTTTAGAAACATTAAATAAAATTTTTTAATTGCAATACTGATATACTTTGCGTTTTACTATCCATATTCTTATATTAGGAGCACAATTTTTTGACTTTGCGATTTGCTCACTTTTTATATTTCTTTAATTTTCAAAAAAAAAAATGAATTTGAATTTTATGTAACGTTATCTTAAAGTTTATTAAATTCCCTTCAAAATGATCTATTATTTTTTTTTATTCTGTCTATAGAATAAAAAATAATGTGTCTATAGAATAATAAATGCTAGAAGTCTAGCATTTACTCAAAATGAACTCGGTATCTCATAATAGGGGCCTTTCCTCTATAATATTGTATTTGTAACTACATTTAAACTGCACGCCAAATTAATTTTTTTTGGACTTAGAAATGCAGGTAACAGAAAATATTTTACAATTTTAATAAAACATTCATGTTTTAGTTTTATTTTCTTATAATGCACATACATATGTATACATATCTTTTTAATTCCATATCTTTTTAATTTCAAGATTATTAATATGATAGCAATGCATAACAAGGATTGCTTGCATCGTGCATAGAATGTAAAGATTTTTTTAATATTTGTAAATCTAAAACAAGTTGTGCAAAACTAGGTCTATCTTGTGGAACCATATTCCAACAAGAACACATAACTTTATATATATTGTGAGAAACCATATTAGGACATGTCAAACGACATTTATCCTGAATTAAATAACGCAATAACTGGTTATCTTGTATACTAGCATATGGAAAAGAACCTAGAGTTCCAATTTCCCAGAGCACAACACCAAATGACCAGACGTCACTTTTAGAAGAGAAAGCATGATTACATATAGCTTCTGGTGACATCCAACGTATTGGGAGTTGACGAACTTTGCCAGCCATATTATTTATTACATATATTCCATTTCGTGACAAACCAAAATCAGAAATCTAAATCCATAATGAATCCATAATAAATAAAATTTGTATATATTAGGTGTTGGAATTAATTCGTAGCGTTTTACAAGTGATGGGAAGTACTTTCATTAATGTATTTTTTAATGCTCATGTGAAATAAATAACATTCTTTCATTAAAAACGCTACGAATTAATTCCAACACCTAATATAATATTATTTTTTTAAATAATTATTATACAGATGTCTACTACCTTTAGTGTTAGATCTGAAGTAAGGAGGATATTTCTTGCTGCCAAATCTCTATGTATAATTCCTTTAACTTCCAAATGTTCCATTCCTCTTGCAATATCAAGCGCAAACTTTATAAATTGTTGATTTTCAATTGTATCATACAAATTTTCGTTATCATTTTTATTTCTTTCAACAATATTTGCATATTTAGATATAGTCTTTTCAACACTATATAAAAGTTTATCGCCTGATTTAATTTTTCTTCTGTAATGTAGATATGCAAGCAAATCTCCACCTTTCATATATTCTAAAAGTATGCATATAGGATTATTAGGTAAAGTACAGCAACCTATAAGGTTCACTAAATGTGTATGAGAACCAGCTGCCTTCATTATTTTAATTTCTTCCAGTAATTGATGTCTGGCTTCAGGTTCGTTACATGTATCAGAACATTGTGACATTTTAACAGCTACTAATATGTTCTTATTGTTGCTTAAGCTGCCTAGGTATACTTTACCAAACTGTCCCTTTCCTAATTCATATATAAAATTTATATATTTATATGGTACTTCAAATTCATCTTTCTGAGTTTTGTAACATGTCTCCTACAAGAAATTTCTTAAATTAAAATTTAAAATTTTTTTAAATTATTTAATCTTTTTCCATTTACCTCAGATTTTTGTTCTACATAGACATCGAGATTACGTCTCTGAAAAACTAGATCTGGCCATTGAGCGAGTTTACAAGCAGAAGGAGACACTGTTTGTCTCCTATTGTTAAAAATAAAATGTTTGCTATAATAAATATGCAATAATTACTATACACATAAATTGTAAAAAATAGTTTAGTAAACTGTTACTTACTGTTTGAAAGGAAATACAAGTTGATACCCATTTTTATTATGTATTGATATAATGCTAATAAAGCCTAGTATAACACAAATGACAATACCGGCAAGTAATAGCCACTGTAACATAATCATATTATATGAATTAATATTATACATATACATATATTAATTATTAATATATATTTTTATATATACCATAGTACTCTTGTCTAATATTTTAGTTTTGCTTATATCAACAATGATGAAACCACCTTGAGTTCCTAAACAATTTCGATAATCCATTGCAGCTACCAATATTTTATATCCATTTTTTACTTTTATGTATTGATCATCAATTCTCATGTCCCAATTAAAGATATTTATTGTAGAAGTCACGTTACTTATCTTTGTGATATTATATACAGAATGTCCCGCTTTTGATATCAATAATGGTATGCCAACACTAAAATATTACATATTGCATTATCATTCAAGTAAAATGATATGACAATCAAATTAATAAAATAAAATAAAAAAATCTCACCTAATTATATAAGAATGAATATGAGAATTATTCGACGTATTATTCCAATTAATAACTATACTTTCTCTTTGTCGGATTACTTCTACTTTTGGAATAGGCAAGATAGATTTTGCATCCGCGCAACTGCATTTATGTCTTATACATTCTGGAACTCTATAGATGACCTATAATATCATGAAAAATATCTTAGAAATTTCATATAATGTCTTTTTATAATGTTAATTTATAATTTCACCTCTGGTAACTTTCCTATGGGTTTAACTCTTGGATTGGCATACACTTGTATTTTGTACGTACAATTTGGATGTATTTGTATATCCGATATACCACTCAATAATTTATTTTGTGGTACTAATATGCTAAATTGACTTTTATTTTGCACATTGTAGAGTGCGAAACCTTCTGTACATTCTGTCCTATTTATATCAGTTTCTTTTAACATACTTGTAATCATAACACTATAACACATATTGAAATTTTTGTTATTTATATAATATCTTTATAGATAATTATTATTGAAAAGCATTAATTAATGTAGTACCTGTACGAAGAAGGTTCTTTTTCTCCATTTGATGGCGTCCAAGATATATTCAATTTCAATGATTTTAGTGCATTATCGCTTTTGAAATTACTTTCATCTTCTGAAACGTACACTGTAATATTTTCGACAACGCCAGCAAATTTTGTTATATTTTTTGCATTTATTGCATCAGAATATAAAAGCAACACAATAATTATATCATATATTAAAATATATTTACACTGTATAAACATCTCATTTTATAGTATGTCTATTTTCTAAATAATTTAGATATATTACATTTTTATACTATTTTATATTTTTGTTATAATGCATTGAGCAACAAGATGTCTACTTCAATCAATAATACTGTGCTTTATTTCAACTTCAATGTTCGAATAGGATTTATCTTTAGCAAAACATATATCTGGTAACTCTTATCTGATAATCGAAGTACTTAAGAACCTTACGACTTCCTATAATAAAATGATAAATGATCTTTTCATTGTAAAAATAATACATATTATTTAATGAAATAATAATTGAAAAATCATAAAAATTATTAGGAATATACAATTATTAATTCCATAAACTACATAATGATTATAATTAACGAAAAATTTATTCTTATCAACAATAAAAATTAATACATGTACATATATATATTTTTGTTATCATAAATTATACTTAACGCACGTATGCACGCATGCACGCACATGCACACGCACGCACACGCATACAAATCTTCAACACTTTCTTATTTAATATTTCAGAAGTTACACAAATGGCCTCGGCTGCAATGTCACCAACTGATGATGACGAGCTTACTCTTCCTCGTGCATCAATTAACAAAATAATCAAGGAAATATTACCTCATGTACGAGTGGCAAATGAATCTAGAGAACTTATTTTAAACTGCTGTACAGAATTCATTCATTTATTGTCTTCCGAAGCAAATGAAATTTGTAATCAACAACAAAAAAAAACTATAAATGCGGAACATGTTTTACAAGCACTTGATAAATTGGGCTTTGGTGATTACAACGCAGAAGCAGAGGCTGTATTACGGGATTGCAAAGCTGTAGCGGCTAAGAGAAGACGTCAAAGTACCAGATTAGAAAATTTGGGAATTCCAGAAGAAGAATTATTACGTCAACAACAGGAGTTATTTGCTAAAGCAAGAGAGGAACAAGCAGTTGCGGAACAGCAACAGTGGCAACAATTACAAGCTGTTACACAAATGGCATCCATGCAACAAGGTGATAGCGAACAAGAAGATTATTCATAAAGAAATTCAAATGGTGAAGTTCGTTTGTAAAATCAATTTGTTTTTTATGTAAAAAAGGTATTTATAATATTTAACATAAAATAAGAAGAAGGAAAGAGGGAGGAAGGAAGAATTAATAGAGATGGAAACAATAGCGATGAATAAAATGAAAAATGTTGAATATAAATTCTATTATTTTCGAAAACCGTTTTTAATAATTTAATTCTACAGCATATTTTACAATAGTGAATACTAAATACTTTTACATTTCTTAATTTAAAATTATAATATATAAAAATAATATATAATAAAACGGATTAATTATATATCTCTCATTTCTCTTTTTATATCCTTCTTTCATATAAACTTTTATGGTAGATTTAAGGCATTAATCTTCCATATTCAGAAGACAGATGGCTTTTCTTTATAACCTCTATGACTTTTGAAACGTAATGATACCTATCAATAATGTTTGCATTATTTTATTGCACATATAACATAGACAAATTTCTTGTATTCTTTTTTTGGAATAAAATTGTATATTCTTGTCATTCTTGACTTTCTCTAAACATTTTATTTATGTTCTATTAATTTAATAATCAAATCGTTAGAATACAAATAGGAATCGAAAGTAAGATTAAAGAATAAAATAATTCAATATCCGATTAAAATAAAAAAATATATAAGTCTTAAAATATTATCTAATTACCAATTTTTTTCTGTTAACACAGAAGGTGTAATTGAATTCCTAGGAACTCCATATATCTTTGTTCGCAGTTTATCTATAAGAAATTCTTCATTTTCACAAAAAATCATATCTTCTGCAAAAAATACGAATACAATTAAATACATTAAATGTTAATATATAATTTTCCATAAACGATCTAAAATAATCTTTTACCTTGTTTATTTCTCGAAGGTATCAAAAATAAATTTAAACCACTTTCTGTTGAACAATGATTCATATCTATACCGCTATGAGTTTGTAATCGAGAACTAGAAAATGCTTTATTATAAAAATCCTGAAAAAAATTAAAATATAATTTTCAAAATAGAATATAAACAAGTTTCTATATATTTATGAGATTATAATTTTCCTATTCTTAATTTTCTTTTCAGTATTAATTTACATTTTAGTAGCTTGTTGTATAAAATAAAAACGCTGTTTAAAATAAAATATTACATGAAATTAATTGCAATGTAATTTAGAAAGACAACTAGAAGACAGAATTATTTTCGTAATGCAATCGAAATCAGACGATAGAAAAAATAACATAGAAACAAATTAAATTTATAGAAATTTAGATAAATGGAAATAGGATGATGGAAAAGATAAAACTAAAAATATAATCAAGGCCAATATTTATTATATAATCGATTTTTATATTTAAGAATTAAATACAATCTTAAGATGTCATGAACCAATTATATTAGCATCTTAAGACATTATTTAAGACGATCTTAAAGTAACGGACTATAAATATTGGTCTAAGATCGGTATTTCTAAGATCTGTATTCTTTTATAGTCCATTCTTATTTTAAGATGGTCTTAAGTAATATCTCGAAATGTTAATATGGCTCTATGATTAATTTATTTTATTATATCTTAAAGCTATTTAAGGTTTTGAGTAATCACTGTGATTATATTGGATTGTAATATCATAAGCGAGAAATGACATGTTGAAGTTCTTGTATGTTATTTGTATACTTAAACAAAAAGAATTTGAATAAAATAATGAAATCGCTTTAAAATATTTGTAAAAAATAGATCAGTTACCTTTATGCTCCTCCTTTGACAGTTAGTAAATAATAAAGCACGTGAAAAGGCTTTGTATGTAAACATTAGTAAATGCATTTCACGTGCTCTTTACGACTATTTATTGACTGTCAAGCTAACTTTTCATGCGTAGCACAAAATGTCATGTAATTTAAATTTTCGAGAATTGATTGGAATCATGGATTGGTGTGTCACCTCACAAAAAATTTTTAACAATAATAGCATTTTGCTGCCGCAGCGTGCTGCGCATGAAAAGTCAAGTTCGGAGGGGGGAGGGAGACAGCTTCGGCCTGTTTTTACAACTGTTTTAAACCGATCTCATTTTATTTTATCCAAATTCTCTTTATTTATGGGAATGGCTATTTGATAAGTTTAGCTTGTCAAATAGGATAGCATCGATCCAAGTAACATGATCGCGAAAGCACACATTTCGTTTATAATCAGTGAATGAAGACATAGAAAATAATGGTGATCTTGTGGATTGAAATTATTATTGGAAAGTAAATATGGATTAGTAAATTGAAAGTTGTTAAATTGAAAGAAGAATTAAAGAAAAGGGAGCGCCTTTGAGAGAAAAAAAGGCCGAACTTATATGTAGAATGGCGTATGAAATTGAAGTGTCTGGGTTTTCAGACTAAGTGTCGATATAACATTCCGTTTGTCAATTAAGCTATGTAATTTTAAGGTTACAAAAAAGAATCATTGTGTTAATATCGAGACAGTTATTTACAGTTTTTAATTTGCTGTGTACTTTACATACAATACACTGCTCTAACAGATTGGCTACGTTCAGCAGAGAAAATTAACCAGCGCTTAGATAGTGATTTTTTTCTTTTTGCTGAACGCAGCCATTAATTGTTGTTTTTGTTAACTATTTATAGTTAAGACGTAAACCACATCAAGAAATAATAACGAAAATGCTTTCTCATATATACCCAGTAATCTTAGTACAAATCATCTGAATCAAAGCTAGCGGTAGCATAATCCTCGAGTCTAAAATGATTTGTACACACACGCGATTCTGCACTCGGGCGGAAAACTTTACTTTTATTGCTGCGATTCACTATTTTTTCATCTCCTCATCTTCGGGAATCGACGCTTTCCTCTATTTTTACATTTGTATGCCATACACATACCTGGCACATCAAAATTAAAATATTTGTCTTTATATACAGTTTCATAAACAGATGCAATTTGACATGTCTCCAAGCACATTAACGCCTCCTATCAGCCAGCTACAAGTGGCAGTCATCATTTCCATAAATGGCATGAAAAAAATGGATATTTTAACGTGCCATTTTTAATCGCTTGTGATCCAATAATAGTCACAGCGACTATTTAGGAGCCTTAAGACAAGAATAGTAGTTTAAATATAAGAATTGACTCTATGAATATTTTGTTATAGAAGATAAGACATTTTTAAATAGATAATACATTATATGTGATAAAATACCTTCATTTCATCAATAGTAGCTGGCATAAAATCTTGCAATTCTGTTTTATTATGCAAAAATATAACATGTGGATAATATTCTACATAATCTTGATCTATGACTGTTGTTGAAGACGGTTTTAACATTTCTGCAGTTTGTAAAAATCTATAAGAAAAATAGATACTTCATTATATATTGTAAATTTTAATAGCAACAAAAAGTAATTATATATTGTATTAATAAAATTAATAAATACTTTTATTACAATATTACCTCACTAAATTTGGATCGACAAACCAATCTTGCACAAATATAATAACATGGCACACTGAAAATAGGAATGCTGCAAACTGAAGTGATTGTAATTCCAAATTAGAATCACTATTCATAAAATCAGGTGCACCTTTTTTCTGATCAAAGGATGCAGCAGAGTCAATCACAAATCCAGAAAGAATTGGTTGTGTATCCAAATATATTACTCTATTTTTAGTTATAAAAAAATCTATTCCAGTGGTACAATTTGTACTACTTTCATAATGTGACAAATCTTGAACTTGAAAAATGTTAGATCTAATCATATAAAACAAAATTATTAAAATAACATTAATTTCAGTAAAAAAGAGCTAATATCTCATATATTGCAAATAAACATAATACATACGAATAATGTGATGTTAGTAGTGACATGATTGTCGATTTACCAACACCTTGTGCACCTAAACATCCAACGACTAGAAAGTCTTGTTGATCATACAAAAAATCTATTGAATTTTCACATAGTTGCATATTTTCATCCATGAATTTGATGCATGTACTCATTTCAGGACATATGGAAAGCATACGAATCGCTGAAACATCATTTTGATATCTTAGGCTAATATTTCATTTATACAAATTTTTCGTACAAATTTTTCAAGTTGACTGGCCGCAGGATAGAGAAATTCTAGAATTTCTAGAAATCCTCTATCTTATAATGAATCAATACGCTTGAAAAATTTATATGATAAATGAAATATTAGCTTACTGTTACAATCATGGTAATATATTTCACACCTTATTGTTAATTTGTTAAATATGCCGAAACATTGATATATATTCTAGTCCATTTGAGACATCTTTTTAATCACGAATTCTTTGTTTAATTTGATGACTAACTTTTTCAGCAAGTGTAGGGATATTAATAATTTTCAATTTACAAGCAATTAAAAAAAAAACTTTACACGAATTAAACTTCAAAATGATAATACTTGTAGAACTACTTTTTTATAATCGAATTTTAATTTTAAGTCTAGTTACAAAAATACATAATATAAAAGGAATATTAAAAAAATATTTTCGATATTTTTATTAAAAAAACTTTGAACTCAGAAAATCTCATTAAAAAGACATTCAATAGTTTTGAGACTTACGGATTATTTTGTACATTAAATATAATAGATATTTTTCAGCACATTAACATTTTTCTAATATGATGTCTGATTGAGCATTAAATTATTAAAAATGGCTTGTCAATTTAATTTAATTCGTGATATTACAGTAATTTAATTGCGTTTATAAATTCGGAAAACCAAGCGCGCAGTTCGAATGATTACATATATGTAAGCATGTACATATATATTAGGTGTTGGAATTAATTCGTAGCGTTTTACAAGTGATGGGAAGTACTTTCATTAATGTATTTTTTAATGCTCATGTGAAATAAATAACATTCTTTCATTAAAAAACGCTACGAATTAATTCCAACACCTAATAGTATATATAGTATATATAGTGTCAAAAGTTTCGGGCCGGCTAAATATCTCAGAAAATATGCATTTTTGAGAAAAATGTTTTTAAACAAAAATTATAGAGTTTAAAAAGGTCTATTTAATGATCTTATCAGTTTGATCTTAGCGTCGCCAAGGTCACATCGATTTTTTTAAATTGGTCATTCTATTTTTGATTCCAGAATCTAATAGTCGATATCAAAAGCTTTTCAAAACACTACAATAAAGTTCATTTTCATTAAATATTTTTCGAGTTATAACGCTTGAAAGTTGCAATGTCACCATTATTAATATTATTACTCGAGACATCCAACCGACGACTAAGACCTCTTGAATGTTATTCAGGATCAAGCTCTGGATAACATTTGTTAAGATCAAGGTCATTGGAGATTGTTTCTCTTATTTCCATTTTTTGCACTGAAAATTTATTTTTATGTAAAAGTGAAAATAAAAAAAAACAATTTCTAATGAACCACATTCAAATGCACTTTCCGAGATATTTAGCTGGCCCGGAACTTTTGACGGACACTATATACAATCACGTTGAATTATTTAAGATCCAGTTTCGACCGTTATAGGCATTTAATTTTTTAGTATTGTGTTCTCACATATGCGGTCTAAAATAAAGATTCTTAATATTGATTAAATATAAATTACTTACATTCTTGTATTTTTGATGCTGCTGAAGACATATCGGCATCTTTTCTATAAAAAGATGTTTATTATATCATATGCAGAATGATTTAGAACAAGGGTAACAAATTATTAGTTTTTCCTTGGCAGAACTAGTGCGCACTCAGTGCACTGTAAAGCCGTTGTACATAAATCGACATAAAGATGTACGTTTAATAAAAATATAGAAACGAATTAAACTGTGAAATATTCAATATATTTTATTTGATAGCTATTTGATAAAATACACATTAAGCATTTTATCAATTGAGATATCTCACTTTTACATTTTGATTAGAATAATGTACAACAGCTTTAATGTGTACTAAGTGCGCACTACTTCTGCCAATGAAAAATGCTATATGATAGATTGTGAAAAATAATTTTGAATAAAAACATAAATATAGAATCTGTTCTCAATACATACAGGATGCACGGAAGTTATTACCATTTAATTATCTCATTAAAACTATACTTGTGAAAAATCGGTTTTTTTAAATTGTGTAAGTAAATTCTATACGTCAACATCACCAGAGAAGAGCAGCAGGTGACCTAAACATTATCGTATTTCCAGCGGACAAAGGCAACACGATAGTGATTATGAATCAGACTGCAGGATGAAAATAATAAGGTACCTGAGCCGAATAAGACTCAGCACTAAATAAGATCCACTTTTAAATTTATTACTTTAAAACTTTATGCTTGCAATATATGCTTAAAACAATGCTGGAATTTATTTGCAAGCTTTCAGCCGATTTTCAGTTTGGTTTCCATCTCTTATCTCACTAACTTATCTCTCCGCGCGTAGCCTAAATGTTAATCGGTAGAAACACATTTGTTTAATAAAAACTTGTGTGTATAAGTCATTTTTATATAACAATCCGCTGCAAAATTTACCAGTATAATATTTCATAATTTTTACTGATTATTGCGAAGAATATTACTAAGGCCTCGGTGGTCTAATGGCTTAGGACACTCGTACGGAATATAAGAGATCCGGGTTCAAATCCCGACCGAGATAATATTTTTCACAATAAATTTATTTAAAGTTTTTTAGCACATTATTATCCTTCTAATATGTTATCAGATAGAACATCTAAATTTGCTTGTCAATTTAATTTAATTTTTGATATTATTATTATATATTTTGATATTATGATTATTCCAGTAGTTTAATTGTAGTCCGGAAAAAATTCGGCACGCAATTTGAATAATTACAAAATATAATATATATGCGTGTATATATATATATATATATATATATCATTTGAAATAAATACTCTAGATAGAAATCAAATCTTGGGATCCTATAGATTCTGTATCCAGTTTGGTACGAAACATATTTGGCCATTTTAACTTCGACACAAAATATCTCGAGAATAATACATTTTTGGAAAAAATGTCTCAAATAAAAATTATAGAGTTTGAAGAGGACCATTAGATGAGCTACTTGGATTTTAGGTTCAAGGCACATTTTGGGTCCAATAAGGCCGAAGTTAATTTTTTTTTAAATCTAAGTAATTTTTCTAAAATCTATAATGTAGGATATCAAATCATATATTGGGTCATTTAAAAAGTATCCGCGGTTTTTTGTTCAATTTTTGAATGAAATTTTTCTTTATTGACA